AATTCCCATCCAAACTGGATGGTTTTAATACTGCAGTATCTTGTAAGAGATATACCAACTAATAAAAAGAAAGAAAGAACGTGAAGGCATGAGCTGTAGCCTCATCTGTATTGGACCCATATCAATAATTATGCATGCCATGGCTTCATTCTCGACTGCTACTTAAAGGTTAATTATAGTGTGTTTTTTCAAGTGTTTTTTTATTTTTAATTATATTAAAATAATAATTTTTATTTTTAAAATTTATTTTTAATATTAATCTGATAAAATGATCTAAAGATATTTTAAAAAATTAAATTTTTTCAAGAACCATTTTAAAACACAAATAAAAACAGGATTGAAATACCCCCACATTGTTAATTAATTTCTTTGTTCACACCGTATCACAATCTTTTCAATAAAGGAAGGATCATGATGTCAGGTAGTTCTCCCTCTACCACAATCACTCAAAATTGCAGACCAAACACGAGGACGACAAGCAACTTTGCATCTCGAAATTTGAGGTCAGAAGATGTCGAAGAAAGGCATTTGTGTTTCCACACTAGTGTTGTGAAACACGTTTTGGCATTGTTCACTTTATTATTATTATTATTAATGATGTCTTAATAGTTGACCTAGCAAGCAAGTTCACATCGTAGTACTTCTAGGAGGGAATAAAAAAACAAAAAAAAAACAAAAAAATTCATGTTATAGTTATTAAACCTAGTCAATTTAAGACATATATATATATATAAAAGAACTAGAAGATAACCTTGTTAACCTAACAAATCAACACACAAATTCTGCTTTCTTGTGTTTAATTTCTCAGCCCTATTTTTTCATTAAAACCCTTACTTACACCTATAGGATGTCCCTACGATGTTTTCATGTGATTTGACAACATATTAAATTCCCAGGAAAAAAAAATAATCCTAGTTTCTTGGCTTACAAATGTGAAATAAAATCTCATGATCATGGCGGTAAACAGGCGAGATCAGAGCTTTTCTTAAATTATTATTGTTACTGATAGGTTCAAAGATACAAGCCACATGACTAACATGTTTAGTATATTTTTTCCCACCATTTGAGGATTTGAAAGTCTCTATAATCAAGGACAATATCCCACATATGATCATGCTCATGGCCATTTCTAGGGCACAAAGCATTAATATATGATTTCTTTCACCCGACGGACAACCAACAGCTCCCATCAATTAGGCATATCCATGCAGAGAAAACATCAACAAGATGGCTTCTCCTTCGATAAGACACAGAGAGCTGTGTGCGTGTGGGGTTCTTGTATTAATTGCTGTCAAATATCGAACAACTCATGTGCGGCGCCATGCTTAGCTGTAGCGATGATTGATATATATCTGATATATAAAAATGTTCACACCATGCACTCTATGGAACCTACTTTAATTCGTCGCTTCTTCAACAGAATTGAAGTAGATTTAAGAAGAGAAGGATGTTATGGATAAGGCATTGCATGTCATCAGTAGGAAATAAGAATTTGCGTGCCTGTTACATGTGAGGATTATAAAAAGAAGGCAGGCGCAGTCAGAGCCATGAAGTTTCTGGCATGCAGAAATGATTTGATGAATGCCATGACATTAGAGAGAAAATGAAGCAGGAGCAGTTGCTTGAAACTCAACAATGATGGCCTGCACAGCTTTTTGTTAGCCTTGAAAAAGAAACTCTAACTCAATATTAGGGCAAACTAGAATTCTTTAAAATTCGGATTAGGTATAAATAATGGGAATCTTAAGATATGGGAAGATCATGTGGTATGAATCTTTAGAGTAATCTTGAAATTCGGATTAGTCTCTAGAAATCTTGACTGTGAACATGGCAAAATAAAATAACCTTGCTGCTCGCATTATTTGAAGAAGCAGGTATCTATTTTGGTCATTTCAACTCATAAATCTATATAAAAAGATGGTTGTTGGAGCGGGCTGCGTGTGCAAAATCAGAAACTGTGCACTGAAAACTATAAATTGCAAAAAGAATTGGGTTGAACAAAGATTTGTGCAAAAATACAAGGACTTCCTTGCAAAAGAAAACAAAGCATCACGGATTGAATATTTTATTTATGCTGTATTAATTGTTTATAACTCCCTATATAAAAATAATTAATTCAGGCCTTTATTGGATTTTAGCTCTAACTAAACATTGTTATTAGCTTTCAAAACCTTTGAAGAATACTGAAGGAGTTTTATTATTAATTAACGAGTCTTTCAAATCACTAATTAGGGACTTAAATGTCGTTTTACCTTCATAATTATTTAATTTATTTTATATTACTTCCCATTAATTGTTCTTTAATAAAGGGTTTAAGTTCCCAAGAAGCCCTTATTCTAGTTCATTGACAAAAATAGCCTCTCAGAGCGATATAAATGCAGGTGATGTGTTTCTCCTTGTTGTCCCACTCCATCCAAGACACATAGAAATCGTAAGAGATGGCTAATTTGGAAGCTCTTGCCAAGGCTTTCACAGGTTCTTTCTCATTCTTTTCATCTCTTTCAGCTCGAGTTTTCCTTCATAAACCAATAGGAGAACATCCAAATTCGTTGCCTAAAACCTTGTTTCCATGGCTTATAAGCCATTTATAAAACTCATCTTGCAACCTGATTGCTTACATGTTGGTTCATGATCGCGTCATCAAAGTTTTCAGCCCAGAATGCTTCCTGTTTTCACATTTTCTGTCGTCAAAATCGCTTTTGGTGGAAGCATTCTGCTGTAAAACTGTTATCTAGTTATTCTTAGTTTATAATGCTAGTAGTTCTACACTTCTTCTATATATATATATATATATATATATAAGCAATGGAATATCTTTATTGCTTCAAACTGACAGCATCAGGGCTCACCAGCACCTGACCTGGTTGCTACATTACCCTATTTCTGAGCACTTTCTCTCATTTTAATATATTATAATGGACTTGAAGAACATTCGTAAGTGTTTTGTTTTTCACTCCCTCCTCTTTTTCCTTAACTCTTTTACCCACATGATGCACCCTAATTTTTTAGTCATGGTTATTAAATTCGTCTGACGGGTTTTGTCATACTCGGGCCGTTTTCCAAGTTGAACTTGAAAATTAAAAACCCAATTGACCTGAACAAACCACCTCAGTGACAAACCAGTTAAATGCATTAGGAATGATCCAAGCTTTTTTTTCTGGATCAATCCCCGAGGTTGTCTAACATCTATGCTTTTGTCAGCTAATTTCAGTATACTTCCTTTTTGTTAATTAGAATAGACTGAATAAGGTCATGTTTATTATTTTCTTAAAACAGGACTTGGAGTTGACGAGAAGTCATTAATAGAAAATCTGGGAAAATCACATCCTGAACATAGAACATTATTCAGAAAAAAAACTCCCCAACTTTTCATAGAGGATGAACGATCTTTTGAACGTTGGAATGATCACTGTGTCAGACTTCTTAAGCATGAATTCGTGCGATTTAAGGTACTTCTTCATAACTTTGCTCTCCTTTCCTTATAGAAGTTACAGGACAACAAGATTTGTGACTCTTTTGTGTGATTTTCTAGAATGCTTTGGTACTTTGGGCTATGCATCCTTGGGAAAGAGATGCTCGTTTGGTAAAGGAGGCATTAAAGAAGGGTCCACAATCTTATGGTGTGATTGGAGAGATTGCTTGTACAAGATCATCAGAAGAGCTGTTAGGAGCTAGAAAAGCTTACCATTCTCTCTTTGATCAATCCATTGAAGAAGATGTTGCCACCCACATCCATGGCAGTGAGCGCAAGGTACATGCCAGTGTTTGCATAGGACTTGATAGAGATAAGCATTCGGTATGAAATGAATATTATTCTGATGATTTTTTTATGAGCTGTGAACAGCTTTTGGTAGCACTTGTAAGTGCCTATAGGTATGAAGGCCCAAAGGTTAAGGAAGACGCTGCAAAATCTGAAGCTAAAATACTTGCTAATGCTATTAAGAATGGTAACAAGAAGAACCCCATTGAGGATGAAGAGGTGATCAGAATACTATCAACAAGAAGCAAGGCTCATCTCAAAGTAGTGTACAAACACTACAAGGAGGTTTCGGGAAACAGTATTCATGAGGTATGACAAGCAACTCAGTGCCTATTTGTAAGTGTAACAGGCTTTAGAAACAGAAATGGGACTAACTATATAGTTTTGAGGGATCTTCTGAAAGTTAGATGAAAGGAATTCAAAGTAATTTGGTTGCTTTCATGCTTTGTTCAGGATCTTGATGCTTCTGACTTGATCTTGAAAGAGACAGTTGAATGTTTATGCACCCCTCATGCATATTTCAGCAAGGTAATTAAGATCAAGCCACAACCAGACTGCCGGTCAATGTACAGCATATTGTGCACATTCTTATGCATTGCTTATAAATTTTTCATTTCTTTAGGTTTTGGATGAGGCAATGAGCAGTGATGCACACAAGAACAGTAAAAAGGGTCTGACTCGAGTAATTGTGACCCGAGCAGATGTGGATATGAAGGAGATTAAAGAAGAATACATGAACTTGTTTGGAGTTTCTCTATCCAAGAAAATTGAAGAAAAAGCAAATGGGAACTACAGGGATTTCTTGGTTACCCTGATAACAAGAGATAATTGATTGAAAAGACGGATATTGTTATTTGGATCTTGATTCAGTGTTGAAGTCTGGCTTTAATGTTCATCTTCTCTTTTGATCTTTGTTTCATCGTATGTTATCTTCTGCATTTATGAGTTGTTTTAGCATAAGGTGATGCCTTAATAAATGGAAATTCTTTCCTCTCATGGTATCACCCTCAGTTTTTTTCTTGTGACACTACAATGTATGTGGTTCTATTTAGCAATTGAGAGAGACAGTGAAATGGTGAGGATGGCAGGGAGATACCACATGTTGTAACTTTGAGCATTCTTCTTTGATAGAAATTGATAGTTTCTTGTTTCTCTTCTAAGAAAGATATTTGGGAATTTGATTCTTCAGAAAAAATGTTTAAATTTTCATCTTCAGCAACCTTTCATTTGCAGATAGCATAGTAGTTTTAATTAACTGCAGATAGTGCTTGAAAAGCAGAAGGTATTTTCCGAAGTCTTTCATCGCTCAGTCACTCAGATTGCAGAGAACATAACATAGGATTACACAATGCCAAACCAGGTAGGAACTCAAAATCATGACCATAGAAACCAAAGTCTCACTGAAAGAAAGTTCTACTCAAATCATTATTGAATTGTGACTGAAAACTAGGAAATCCTAACAGAAGAACGAAATTTAATCCTCCTTTCCTAGCAGAGATAAGAGGAAAGCCTTGAAATCCCCAGAAGTGTCCTTGGCAACTGCCTGATCAAGGGGCACACTGTTTCTCTTTTATTATAGTTCCTTGATATCACTCAAGTCCTTCTCTGCCCTCGTGACAATCACACGAGTCAGTGCTTCCTCATCAGTTCCAAACTTTCTGATGGCATTGCGCAAAATCTATAGCTGAAAGCTACAAGGTATTATTAGTTCATTGATATTTCGTCACCGAAATTATAGTGACAGTCTATAAAGAATCTAACATCGAATAGCAGTCCGGAGATCTGCTTTGAACTCTTCAGCAGGCTCATCTAGTAAGGCCTGAAAACCAAAAGCAACTTGCAACTGTAAACAATTACCTTGGCAAGTAGAAGCAGTTTATTTGTACAAGCTATATACTGACTTTTTGTTCTGTACCTTCGTGATGGAACTGCCATGGTCATCTCCGTAGCGGTTGAAAGTTTCCGTGAGCTGTGCTTTGCTCCTGGTGGTCAGGATCCTAATGACTTCTTCATGATTAAATTCCTTGACTTTGATTGCATCATGAATAATATCAGCTTCTGAATTAGCCAACCTTGCATTAATCTCATCACCTTCATACCTAAATGCTGTCACCAATTCAACCAAGAGCAGCAAAATGATCATAACAAATCATGTTAGCACATTATGTAAGTGATGGGAAATTCTGAACTGTTTAATCAATAGTATATTAATGATTGTACATGCCTTCCGGATATCACCAGTGGTCTGGGCTGCAAGATCTTCTTCCAAGGAATGCTTGTAGCGAGCCTTGCAAGCCCTCTTCACAGCCAAGAGTTCCTCTGGAGATAGGACACAGGCAATTTCAACAATTACATGGTAATCGCCAGACTTCCTGATGGCCACATTTACTAGATAACTAGTTCAAATACAAGACAAATTCTAAGAAATTGGATATATGGAAAGATGTGAATGGAACAGCAAAAATAATTTGTTTTTTCCTTCCGTTTTGATGTTAGCTTTTCAATTTGCTTCGGTAAATCTGGAATAATCAATTAAATTATCTCTCATATTTTTAGCAAAAATTCATCGAATGAAAGTGTCAATCATGCTTAGATAATTTTAAAAATATTTATTTAATTAATACATATTACAGTTTTGCATGAGTTCTATTAAAATCTATATTTAAAATTTTGATTATAAAAAACTGTAATTTATAATCTATTTTTAATGTAAAGCATACACATAGAACTATAACAAACCCATCCAAGATTTTCTGTAGACAGTTTTGAAATGTGAAGTTGATTGCTTCTATTATTTCATTAAATACATATAGGAACCGTGGACCCGAAGGACTCCATGGCCCAATGGATAAGGCGCTGGTCTACGGAACCAGAGATTCTGGGTTCGATCCCCAGTGGAGTCGACTTTTCTTTTCTTTTTTTTCATTTTTTTTTTTTACCTTCTGTTGTGCCCTGCCCAGTTTCATGCGGAGGCCCAGTAACAAGGAAAAGAAATCTGTAAAATGTTAATGGGCCTGAGCCCAGTTTCTTAAAACTTCACTAGCCTTTGAAGACAAATCGTTTTCATAGAATACATCTATCGAACTATGCTCGGAGGAATAGTGAAAAATCTTTCTTTTCAAGAATTATATTTTTTTTCTGTAGTTTAAATTATACTTGGGTAGCTTTAGGTATAATAATTTTATTTTTATCAAAATTTAAATGAACTATTCACACTTGAATTGTTGCTTCTAAAAAAATTATTTTCTTTTATTTTCTTTTATATAATTTGATAGTGAAAAGCAAACTCATTTCACTATCATGAAATTGCATTTTAAAGATCAACTAATGTATCATATTAATTCAATTCTCCCTAACTATATATATATATATATATATCTTTGTCTAGTTAAAAGATCTATTTTGTGCCCAAAATATTATTTATCAACATTCTCTTTTAGTTTTCAAGAGAGAAAAAAAAATAGTTTTAAAAAGTATTGATCTCAAGTTAGAATTCATAAAGTTTTTTTTTTTTTTAAGAACAAACTACCTTGATTTTAATACCTACCTCCTTGATCTTCAATCCATTTTTTAGATTTTTTTCTCTAAAATAATAAAAATATTCTTACATAATTTGTACATCAATCATAACTATTTTTTTTCTAAATGTTCTAAAAGACACACATGTTGCATCAGTCTAATGTATATATATTTGAGTGAAGTTTTTTAGATTATTGTAAAACTCCAATTTAAAGCATTGTTCGGAGTACAAATTTAGATGGTCGGTCCATATCATTGCTTTAATGATATTTTTTTTTAAATTAACAAATTAAAAGTTAGGTGTTAACTAGAATAAACTTGAAAAATCAAATTACAATATTATCCCAAGTTTTTTATTAAATCAATCAAATTATTTTTTTTTCAACAAAAAACTAGTCAAATTCAAGTTTATAACTATTAATAAGTTTGTATTATGTGGAACATTCTCAAATATAATAATGAAATGCAAATCATGCCAAATCACATGAATATGTGTCGTCCAAAAGTCAACGACCTCATCCTCTCCTTTAAACCCTAATCGTCAAATCATTACCAAATTAATAAATAATCCTTTTTTTTTATTAATAAATAATCCACTCTCTTAAACATCATAATTTTTTATACCAAAAAACATGGCTACCACAAAAACCACTACTTGGTCAATATGGTCCCTACAAGCCGACCCACAACCCTCAAAGCAACCACGGCCACATAATTTAAGACCCTCCCACCAAATTTTGCTAAATTCATATGAAATTCATCCAAATGAGATTCAAATCAAACTCGCAACGCTTTACCCAATCACGTTCAAGTAATAGATCTATCCTTAACTCATAACCACAAATTTAGATACTGTCTGAACACACGTGTCACTCAACTAGCCATTCAAACACACGTGAGACTCACGTGAAATGGAGAATCCTTTGTGGCCTTTCCCTTTTTTCTTTCCTCCTCCTGTTTCAGTCTCTGGAGAACTCTGTAAATTTACTCCTTCGACACGTGTTAGGATTCCTGTTTCTTGTTTTGCATATAATGTTTTTGGTTTTCTTGGGTAGTTAAGAGGGGGATGATGCTTTTTATGATCACGTAAGTTAATGTTTCGTTTTTGTTTTTTCAAGGTTTTGAAGGATTGGCGATGTGTGAGATATTACAAGAGATGATATGTGATCTGTTCTGGTTTCTTTAGATATGTTTGATTGGAACGACGAAGAGGTAACTAACCCAGTTTTTTTTTCTTTCCCTTTTTCTCAATTTTCTTTTTTGAAATATGTAGTTAATACTGTGAATTGAGCATGTGGGTTGCTTTTGGATTTCTCTGTTCTTGTTTAAAATGGCTATTTTGAAGTTTTGAGGACTAGTTTGTGGAAACAAATGATCTGTATGTAATTGGGGTAGTGGTTTATTTCTAGAGTATGGTCATGTTGGGGGACTGTTTATGGGGAGAGCTGTGTTGAATTGACAAGTGTGACTTGTGCGGTTATTTCATTGAATGGATTGAAGTTTTGAAGGGAATTTCCCAAGTGTTTGAAGGCAAAAGTGATGTGATTCATTTGGAAATTGGATGGAGTTTGTATTAAAGGTGACGAGAGATATTGGTTTAGTTGAGGGCAAAGGAGTGGTTATGGAATGGGATTTACAAAAAAGTGAAAGGCTATGAGGAGGGAGGATATGTGAGTATTGTTTGAATGATGCGCACTGACAGAGTGGAGAAATAATACGGAGAAGGTCTTAGTGGCAAACTATTAGATTTTCGTTAGTGTTTGAACTTGGGAGTTGATATCAATGCGCTGTATTGCTATGAAGGTGGTGGGAAATGTGTGGGGAAGGGGCTGGAGGAAAAAATCTTATTTCGCTGGGGAACTGAGGAAGAGTTGAGCAGATGTAGGGCGTGGGAAGCAGATGAAGTTAGGATGCGGGAGAGATAGAGCTTGGGATGATTAGAGAAACTCAGCATAGTGGTTGGTGATTCCATCTGCGCTGACTCATATATATAGAAGTTCAGAAGAAGCTCTCTTTGAAGGCGCTTCCCACCCTTTTCCTGATAAAATAGCTTGGAGCGGATGGAAAATGCAAAAATATTGGTGGATCAGTTGATGAGGTGCAATGTGACATCCTCCCTCTTAAAGCTCATCATAAATAGTTTGTGATTATGCCATTCTAAATGAAGATTGTTTTCAATGATGATTTTGATGTTGTTGGATACCTTGGTGAAGGTTCTGTCATTTGGAAATTATGCCTAGTATTATGATGGCCTGTGATGGTTTTATTAGGGGTTCGAGATATTTCATTATTCCTTGGTTTTCACGGCCGAGTTATGATACACACCGTATTCAGACACTCACAAATATACACCATATGCACATGAAAGGAAATAAATTGTTAAATTAGTATGTTACTCAGAATATTATGATTGGAAAAGTAGTGTTGCTAAATTTTCAGAGATTGACTTATGGTGCTGTGTTATTCTTGTTATATATCCTACATATTGTAATGATGTTTACCCACTATCTTTTCAGATTACGAACATAATATGGGGTGAGACTGACAATAGTGATGACCATATTGTGCCGTTTCCAGACGCAAGCGAAGATTATTGCAAGAAAAAAGAATCTAGTGGAGAAGCTGGTACCATTAATTCTGGTGCGCAGAAAGCAGCCGGGGCTAAAGTTGATATTGATGGCAGAAAGTTGGAGAGTAGTTCAAACTTTGACACCAGTGAAGGAACTTCTGCCTCAGGAGTCGATATCGACCGATGGCCTAGCTTGTCGTTATCTAATGCTGCCGAAACTGATCAGGATTCCTTTGGCACTTCAATGTCTAACAGTTTAACTGACATTACCAAACTTGATTCATCAGCAGGTGGTGAGATTTCAATTACTAGGAAAAAATGTAGACAGGGTGATGAGTTGCTTGAAATTTTGATAGCATAGTATCTTGCATGTTTCTACATTCTAATGCTAAAACTTTCTTACTGCCGAGATGACTCAACTTGATAAGGACACTGATATTTTTCAAAATCCCCATGAAGGTAAAGAACAAGGTGATTTTGTTGATTATGGCTGGGCTAGCATTGGAAGCTTTGATGATCTTGATCGGATTTTCAGGTAAAGCACAGTTACCATTCTTACTTTCTGCGCTGCAATGAAACATAGTCTGAAAGGTTTCATGACCATTATATTTTTATGCAGTCTATTTTCACTTCATAAGAAAAAAAATGAAGTACAGGAGTGTTGTGATGGAAAAGCAACCAACTCTCTAAAAAAACATAGTTTCTTCTCTTTTTGGATCTCAATCTTTTTCCAAACCAGTTTTGTCTTCTAAAAGGAACAATAACAAAAGCTTGAAGGACTAGTTGCTTGAATATTTATGGTTTTTGATCCTTGGCTTAATTTTGTTATTTGAGAAAAGAACCTGAAGGAAGCCATTTTTTATTAGCACAGTATCTTCAATTACAAGTTTAAATGGCAGAAAGAATGTCAGATAGCAGCACTGAGTTTTTAAGGAATTGGTGAGCTTGTCCAATTATTGGAGGGTTTCCTGCTTTCCTGTTTTTCATCAGCATTCCTATATTTTATCTTCATGTTTTGGGAGACCAGTGATAACCATCTGACTCAATATCCTCACAAGTGGTGATTTTGCAGCAATGGTGACCCAATATTTGGCAATGTAAATCTTGGCGATGCTGATGACCTATGGTCTTCTTCTAAAGATATAACTAACAGTCCGGTGAAGCCCTTTCCAATATCCATGGCTTCAAGACAAGAGTATGCACAAGAAGATGACCCGCTGTTTACCCTTGGCTATGGAAAAATGAACGATCCTGCATCTCGTGGTCTGCAGAATACACAGGTAACTCTTGCTCATGTAGAATATGAAGGAGGTAAAAGTAAGCGTATGCTAAAGGCATAGGTATAGAGATCAATTTTCAGTAATGAGTTTGCTTATTCATGCATCTTGCTTAATTTAGGATCTGAGAGAAGCTTGTTATTTTTATTTTGTTTTGCAGACAGATTTGGCCATTGTGGGAAAGAACACAACAACTAGCTCTCAGCTGACTGCAGAAAATGTGGTGCTGCCAAATGAATTAACAAATAAGGTACTGTTTTTCACTTCCTTTGATATTTTCAAAATCTTGATACTCAACCAGCATGTTAGTGAATTTTTCCTTCTGCATTCAGGATTTCTTTTAGACTCGATAAACACTAAATACAATCTGGGTTCTTAGAACCCTGCTCTGCTCTCTTGAGTGCTCCGAGTTGTGTTCATGATTCAAGAAAAACGTGAATTAAAATTGGAAAATCTTGATATTTAGGTCTTAAATTTGACTGAAGGGACAGGGAAGTCTAATTAGATCTGGGAAACGTAGAAGATACCTTATTTATCAACTTACCGAGACTACTGAGCACTTCTCTGGAATTGCCAACGGAGATTAGGTAAATATGGATTTTCATGGTTTAGTTCGTCATGTCTTTAATGCTTTAATTAAGCTATCCAGGCTGCCAAATTCACGAATTCACTATGATACCGTTTTCCTAAACTTAAAACATTTCATGGTTTAGTTCATGACTTCTTTAATGCATTAATTAAGCTATCCAGGCTGCCAAATTCATGAATTCACTATAATATTGTTTTCCTAAACTTAAGCCATTGCATAGTTTTCTGTTACAAAGCAGACTGAAATAATATGTGAAGATTCGAGGCATTTATTTTAGGTAGTCATATTCTCCCCTGGTTGATCAGTAATTTATATTTCTAGCATAAAATTCACTGATCTTCCCAGGGACGTCTAAATTCTGTTTGCTTGGCATAGTTCAGTTAATACATTAATCTACCTTATTTTCTTTAAAAGTAAAATTTTGACAAAACAGATACATGGGCATGTAAAAGAGCTGCTATCGTTACAACCCATGCGCTGAATAAAAATTCTAACTGTGCCTGGCGACTCTCCCCTGCAGGCCTAGATGGTTAAATCGTTGACCTATTCTATTTATGTTTATTGTTTTGCTGTCAGGTTTACAGGCAAAAGAAGCTATTGAAAGGTCGGAAAAAATTGGAAGAAAAAGGTGAACTGAAATCGTACCAAGATTTTAATGGAAACTGGACTCCATCTGGAATCCAAGCCGGTCAATTTAAGAATCAGTTTGCACCCCAAATTATGCAATCTTGCCCCCCTTCGATTCTCAGCCAACAGAATCAGCTCCAGGGACCTGACCAGTTGCAGTACCAGCAAATATCGAATCCATTTGTGGCTCCTTCTGCATATGGGAGCATGACAAATCCATATTCCACGCCTGTGTTGTCTCATTTTCAGTCCGGGGAATTTAAGCATCAACCTTTAGCTTCTGGTTATGAATTTTCTTCAGGTAATGCTAATCCTGTGAAAAAATTTTCATCATTCCCAACAAATTTCTAGTTATTTATTCATTAACCTAAAGTTTCTAGTTATAAAGTTTCTTCAGGCATTGCAAATCCTATAATCAACTTAGATGACTGTCCAGTGAACCAGAGAATGACACCTCAGGAAAAAATTGAAAAATTAAGGAGGCGGCAACAAATTCAGGCAATGATTGCCATTCAGAAACAGCAGCAGCAGCTTGTTCATCAAAAATGTTCTCAAGAAAATCAAATTCAGCATGTTGAAGGAGCTGAACTAGAAGTAGAGGATCTAAGTACTCTTGCTTCATTCGACCCAAACTCGCCCGTTGAGCAAGATGATTCCAATACAATCTCTCTGGCAGTTAATGATTACTCAATGGAGGACACAATACTCTACAGGCTTCAAGATATGATTTCAAAGGTATGCTTCACTCACAAGTGAATTCTTTTCATGACAGAGTAATTTGAACTCGGTTACAATTCCAAACCAATGTTTTACAACAGCTGGATGTCAGAATTAGACTCTGTATTCGGGATAGCATGTTCCGGTTAGCTCAGAGTGCAATGCACAGGCATTATGGTAGTGATACTAGCAGTACAAACAATAGTAGCGGGGGTGAACAAGTTGCCATGAAAGAGGAAACCAGGTTGGTTGAGGAATTGCAGTTTTCATGCTTCTGTTTTGAAATTTAATCTATCCTGTTCTTACATTTTTGCTCCATGGGAAAGCGAGATTAGGATCTTTTAACAACATCACCTTTTTTTTTTTCTTTTGTTTCCCATTGTCATGCTAGAAATAAGTAGTGAAAGTGCTATTTTCGTTATTGACAATTGAGGAGAATAGTGATGGAAACAATTGAACTGAGGCCTTGATTTCTCTAAGAAGTGGAAGAAAATCTAAACAGGGCATAATAGGTTCCTCTTTCGTCGAATTTCATTATAAACTTGACTGAATTTGACGTTGCTGGACAAATATGTAGTAGTTTGCTCCCATTGGTTGTGTTTTCTGATTTGTTGATTCCAGGGAAGTTGTACATAATCACCATCTTTGGGTGCAAATCTTATTTTCCTTTCTATTTGTCGTTGATTGAACTTATTACACTTGTTGAACAATCTCTCTTTTTTTAGTAGTTAAATCAAAAAAAATTCTCAAGAATGTTGTGCCACTCATTTATGCAAACTCCCTAGTTAAACTTAACTACATTGCATCTTCTTTTTTGAAGATTAAATTGTTTGTTTGTATTCTCAAGGAAAAAAAAAATTAGGATTTTTTGTGAGGTGCAGCATGAAAAGGGGAAGTAAATGAGTTTACTGAATACTGACAATGCACCTGGTAGTGTTACCTATGCTCGCACCTAGGAAGAAGAAGACCACCACCCCCTTCACAGCTTTCCTATTTACTGAACACCTTTACATGGATTTATGTAAATTGTCTGATTGATCTCCGACTCTTGAGTGCAAAAGCACAATAGAAATTGCAAAGGAAAAATCCAGAAGGAAAAACTAAACATAGATATCCAAGTCTATATGACTGGCACAACATACTTGAGAAATTTTGCTAGATTTAACTACTAGAGAGAGGGAAAGATTGTTCGACAATTGTAATAAGTTTATTGAAGGACAAAATAAAGAAAAACAAAGTTTTGCACCCAAAGATGGTGATTATGTACAAATTAACTGGAATCAACCATGCAGAAAACTTGCATAGTTTTGGTTAAACCAGACAAAATTCAATTTCCTTTCTAGTTTAATAATCATCTAAAGATTCATGTTGCATTTCAAGCAAGAAAAAACTTAAAGAAATCAAATAATCTGCTAATCGGCTCTTCTATGTCTAAATGGGCATCACTTCCAACCAAAACCATAAGCTGTTTTCATCTGAAACTCTTGAATTTTTGTTGTCTGCAACTATGTGGTTGTCTTACAGTTGCAATGAATTTTCTCTCTTAAATTTTGTCCTATCCAAGTTAAATCATTCAGTTTGTTTGCACAAAATTGCTATTCAAGTCTTCATCAGCAAACTCAAACTTTCAGTGATTTTCCTCTTCGATTTTATGGTCTGCTACAGGATGGTTAAGATGCCTGAAGTGGAAACAGATACCAACCCCATAGACCGGACTGTGGCCCATTTGCTGTTTCACAGACCAGTGGATTTCGCAGGGAAACATCCTGAGACACCTGAATCACCTGTTTCTACTAAGCTCCCGTGTGAGCACAAGACAGTGGGCATAGCAAAACTGTCAATGGGAAGCTTGCCTGACTCTCCAAAAAGTAAACCGAACTTTTCTCAACAGGGTTCTAAACTTTCTAGTCTCTTGACCAATTTCCAGCCAGCCGGTCATTGTAAAAGCAATCCTTGTTTAGACACATCGGAGGATGCATCAAACAATGGACCTGCAGATGAAGTAGCTAGGGAGGTTAAAGCCTCTGAATGAAGGTAGGGGTAATTCCTTCCTTTATCTCTTCGATGAGTATGTTATGCTTACAGTGATGATTATATCGATTTACTGGTAATGCTAAGGTTTTCTTTTATTGTCAGCCCATTGGATCACCATCAAATGAGGGTCACAGATTAAACACCAATATTGCCGAGGATTCATCAACGTCATTGGCAGGCAGCGTAACGTAGCATTTGTGGATTTGAAAGTATTGTGGTCTATATAGCTACATATCTACTACCACCAGAACTTCCTGAATTCTCAAGATGATGACTTTTAAGTGTATGCTTTTATCCTTCTGCTAATTATGTGGAAGGGTGATACGCCAATAATTATTAGCAGATTTATATGTGCCTACCCTCTGAGTGACATTGGCCTCTTTCCC